GTTTAAAAAAAAAGAATTATGCACATAAATAAATAATGAAATAAACAAGAATATGTTAAATCACAAACGGATCAAACACGACTTAACTAAATTGCAATTCATTTCTAAAAATTTAAAATAAAGTATTTCGCTGAACAAATAGAACTCTTCCTTTTACTGAAGATTTATTTTAGTTCATTTGCACTAACAATTTCTCATTAAAAATTAATTAATTATTAAAGAATAATATTAGCAAATTAAACATTTATTGAATATTTATAACAATGCTGACATATTCTTTTTATTATTTACATTTTCAATTTAGACTTTTAACTTATTATACTATATATATTACTATTTCAATTTAGACTTTGACTTATTTTTAGCCTTTTAATAATAATATATTACAAACTAGTATCAATATTTATTCAATTATAATGTATAATAAAACGATACATATAAATAACAATAATTTGGTATGATAAATTGAAATGATTTAAAAAATACAATAATAACTCCTATAACATATTTCACGTAAATTGTAATTTACTGAAAAATTATATATGTATATGTATTTATATATAAGGGTGTTCATGCTGCAATGTTTGAACTCACGGTTACGTGTGGACGGGGTCATTTTTACTTGAAGATATGTTTCCAATTGAAAATAGCCCATTTTGGGCACTGCGGTGTGAAATGGCAATGGGATTACTATCTAGTATTATGCATATACTATACAATACTTTAGATTGTTTGTTCGACGATGAAATATATTCTTGAGATTTTCTTCAACTATTTTATAGAAATACAAAACACATAAAAAACAATTAATACAGAAATACCCCGTTTAACGCGGGGGATACGTTCCGTCAAAGTAGAGTGCAACGCGAAACAGCGCTAAACAAAGCTATCTTTACATGAAAATATTGGAGTTAGGGAAAGACGGCTAGGAAATTGATTCGGTAAAAATAAAACCAAACATTTATTTCTTAAGCCCAAACTAATACCACATTATTATTTCTTTCAAAAATAAAGATAAAATATAAATAACAAAACGAATATTTTTGAAAAAAAAAACAAATAATATTCTAAGTCAGTCATATTTAGTTAGCCTTCCGCGTTTTCGGTGTTCTGCCGTTTTGTGACAAAAGCATCTACGAATACATCATATGAATCTATGAATATATGAACACGGGGTATTCTAATATTGTCTAGGTATTGGTATATCATAGACCTTATACAATACAATGAAATTGTATAAGGTCTATGAGGTATATGAATACATTGTTTTCTAATATTGTCTAGGCATCTAATGTTGTTTCACTTTTTCTTTTGCAATGTTCTCTTAAAAGTTCATCATAAACGGATAGAGCATCTCTAACATCACGGCTTACTTTAGAGCTGCTGTCAAAATCCGAATCAATTTTCAATGAATTGATCCATTATTTCAGTTATGGTAGACAATCTTCTTTTTACAAACACCATCGAGAGTCCTTTTTGCTTTTCTGCCGAATCACTACCGTCAACATTTTTGTTTTCTTCTTGTTCAGTTCATTCCTTGAGGCCATAAGCTCACTATTAGAAAGACTGCGCTGCTTCTTGAATTATTTCTTTGACATATTCCTCTTTTATCCCTTCAAAACCTGGGTTGAAATAAAAAAGCGCTAAACGATACAGCGTTAAATGGGGTATTACTGTACTTGCACTATCTAACATAAGTATGATTCATTCTGCATGTTCATACCAATAAAAACACAACAAAAATAAAAATATGTATGTAATTTATCACATCATTTTTACAAGTTAACATTGGGAGTAAAATTAGTATTTCCATTGTGCTCTTCCCGATATCAACATACTAAATGATGACACACATACGGTGACAAAAAGTACAAAATAAATAATTTAGTTATTCATTGCTTCTTATTTCTAAAAAAATATGAATTCCAAAAACAACAATAACATAAAATCTAAAATGTTGCTCAAAGGTTGCTCACACCATCATATCGACGAGATCGACAAAACTACAAGAAGCATTTCGCGAAGCTAAAGTAGAAGCTTTTCTTTATGAGATTCAATTGTTACATGAAAAATAATCAAATTATTAAATGAATGTTGTAAATGTAGCTGTTATTTATAAGTAGACGTGTATAGAAACTCTTTTCTAAATAATTTAGTGTGCTAATAATTCATCAAAATAAATGGTGATGTCCATACTTCTCAAATTGGTGCTGACAGATAGATAAATTATGCCATAGGTTTGTTGTTTTATAAATATAAATATGTTTATTAAAGTAATTGAATTATAACTGTATTGCAACAATTTTTTTTTGTTATTTAACAATTTGTTATATAGTGAATTTTGGCAATATTTTTTTCTCCAAACAATGTGTTCTTAAAATACTATTTGTTATAATAATAATAAATATTATTATAATCAGTAATTACTACTAATTTTTATTTATACTTACATTATCTTATCCAATTTAATTTTGGAATTAATTGAATTCTAAATTACAAATATGTTATTAAATAATGTATCATATTAATTTTATAAATGAATTAATATTTAACTTATTTTTAATAGTAATAGACAAATAATACTCAAATAGGCATATAATACTTAATCATAGATTAGTTATTCTGAGTATTTCTGCATATTTATTATCATACTTTTAAGTTTCTAATTAATTGAAATTTATAATGCATTTCAATATATTAAAATATTTTAAAGTATTAATAATAATTAAGTAATTTCAACAATAAATTGGTAATCTTTAATTTTATGAAACTAGTTAACTTTATACATTGTATTTTAGTCGTGATCATGTATCATGTTATGCTAGTAATATCAATAGTTAAAAACCAATTCCTTTGTAATGTAAATGATTTAAATATTCAATTTGTATTGTTCACTAAAAATTGTAAGTAGTTATAAGCAAAACAATCTTAAAAATTGCTTGAAATTACATATTGCTAAAAGGTTTTTTATTATCGGTACGTCTTATTATTGAATTATGTTATTTTATGCATAACTGTTTATTGATTTATAACCTTAGTGATGTAAACACTAATCTGAAAATTATGAATAATTTAAATAATTATCAAAATAAAATCTTTCTTTCGTCTTTATAACTATTCTGCTAAATTTTGTTGATGCTTTATAAAATATTCCTTATCAAGAGTTACATGAAAAATTGATGTTATAATGTTATAATTTCCGTTATATGATTATTTCCATTTCTAATAACCAGTTCTCTTTCAGAATCAGAATTTTTATGTTTGATTGAGACAATCGAGTGCAAAATGGGCTTCTTAGAAGGAAATATGTGTCGAATATGCTTAGGAAGAAAGGATTTGGTAGACCTGTATTTAACGGATTCTCCAGGATCTATAAGCAGTAAATTGGCATCATTATCGAACATTCAGGTACTTACTTGCATAATCATTATTAGTATAGTAGTCGTAAAGAAAATTGAAATATTAATGTTTTTACTAGCCAACTAATTATATTTGAATGATATATTGATCATATTTTTTTTAAAGATGAATCAGAATGATGGATTTCCCCCTTACATATGTGTTTCATGCATTCAAAACTTGGAAGTTGCTTGCAACTTTATCAAGAAAAGTGAAGATTCGGATATAAAATTACGCTCTGATTATATTCACAATAGTTATAGTCCTTTAACATTACTTGAGTGAGTATAAACCAAATTTAAAAATATTATTTAAAATAATTTGATTTACTTGAAATAAATTTAAAATGTTTATTATAAAATTGTTAATATGTCCTAATATACTATTACTATACTATTCCAGAATGCCATCTAATTTTGATTATAATAATGTTATTATTAACTGCAAAGTTGAAGTCGATGTTGAAGGTAAATTTGTGAATAATTTGTATATTTATAAAGTGTTATAACTTATTTTTTTATAAATTTAATTGAAATTATATATTGTGAATAAGTTCTTTACAATATATAAAAAGTAGATATTCCAATAGTTTTTGGTAATATACATAATACTGCAAAATTATTTGCTCTCTAGTTAAATATTATTCTAAAGTTTTATGCCATATTTTTCAAAATTTTGTTTATATTATTAAAACCTCAAACTCATATTACTCAGGTAAATTACTCAGATAAATAATACTCATGATAAAACTTACTTTTGTAAAACTTATTTATTATAATAGGTATCTATTCACTACATAGTTAGTGAATTTAAAATTGTTTTGTTACTTAATCTATGCAAATTATTGTATTAATTTGATTTTATTAATATACTTCTTTGTGAAATATTAATTAGTGAATTAATGAAAATTATATGTTTATTACTGTATATATTTTTGTTTTTAGATAATGAAGAACAAAAATATCACTTTGAGCCTTCTGAAAACGTAATTTCATTTGAAGAATGCTCTGAATTGAAAAAAAAGATAGCAAAACTCACATCTATGAAAATAAACTTAACGAAAAAAATGACAACAAATAAAGCAGTTGACTATTTGAAGTCAAATACAAACCTTATAGTAAAAAAGGTTTCGGGTAAACTGAGAGGCGATAAGGCCCCATTAATAAAGAAGGAAGATTTATCTTCAGATGATGCATCTGTAGATGCAAATGATACAAATGATGCTAGTGATTACGAACCACCTGCGAATGATTTTAATGCTGATGATAGTGATGAAGATGAAATGGATAAAGATTATGTGCCAATAAAAGTATCTAAGATAAATAAAGGTGTTCGGGTTCGATCTAGAAAATTGAAAATGAAATCGCAGAGGTAAAAATATTTATTTTCTTCACATTTTCATAGTTATTTGTTTTAATATAGTTATGTAGAGGATTTTATGCAATTGTGCAAATTGCATATCTAATTTTTTCATTCTCACTCAACCTGGTATTTGAAATAGATTAATCTTCTCATTCTATAAATTTTAGATTTATGATGCCTAAGAGCAATAAGCCGAAATATGAAAAAATGACTAGAAGTTTAGAGTCTAGATTTAAAATTACTCCCAAAATAATACAACTAAGTAAATACAAAAATTGCAATACAAGTAACAAAGGTCCAAGAGGTATAGCTGAAAGGATGATCAAAGTATATAGACCTAGGAACCACTTGCATGATGGTAAATATATTGTAGATCGATTATTTTTTTTTTTTCTTCAGTAATGGGTAATTTTGAGCCTTTTTAAATGCAGGTAATAGTAAAAGAGGTCGGAAACCAGTTTTAGATCGTGACGAAACCGGTCGTATTATAAGACCAAAGCATCAGTGTTATGTGTGCGGTGTGATGGCTGCTGATATTAAACAACATATGACTTCACATACAGGTAAATGGAATTTATTACATTGTATTCAATAAATATATAGAAATATATATTTAAATTATTATAGGCAAAAATGTTCTGTGGATCTATATTTCATTACTTGTATTTAATTTGTGATTTAGTCATAATTTATTTTATATCTACCAGGTGAAAAAAGTCACGTTTGTGATGTTTGTGATAGACGATTTAGTACAAGAGGCAATTTAATTCATCACAAGAAGATACATTCTGGCATCAAATCTCATGTTTGCCAAGTTTGTGGTGCTGCTTTTATTTATGCAAGTTGCTTACAGAGGTAAGCATTTTTATGTTCTAGTTTAAGCCACCTAAAATTTTAATATACAGCTGATATAAACCTTAGAATGTCAATTAAGAGAGTTGATTCAACCATTTATGGGATTATTTATATTGATATGTTTAGTGTTCCCACAAGCGGAACACAAGAAGCGAGGAAAACCAAAAGTTTCATTGTATGTAGTTGGTAAATACATTGTTACCAGTAGATTGTTTGAGACGGCCATATATCCCTCGGCAAAATAATTTAAATATCAAAGATTTGTCCACGTCCGAGTTTTCGAGTTACTAGTTGAATTATTACATTCAACGAGACTTACATCATAAAAAAAAAAAAACTTAGTGAAACCAATGAATTCATACTCAATTACGATCATTATAAGCCGTTATTTGCTACTTGAGATGCCCAAACAGTTGCTATTTATGATTTTATGCTTTATTACATTTATTTATGATCTCTATTAGATATTATTATTTTCTGGAATAATTTAAAAAATATTTTCTAGGCACTTAGATATTCATACTGGTACTAAACCTCACAAATGCCATCTTTGTGATAAAGCCTTCCAGCTGGCTCAAGGATTAAAGCGGCATCTCACAGTTCACGAAGGTGAGTTCATAATGATGTCTGTCATAAATGCTAAATTTTTTTCTGTTTTCCATCATATTATTTATTTTTATTTATTATTATTAAAACATTAATAAAAAATGTTCTTTTTTACACTGGACAATTTGTACTTTAGAAAATATTATGCGATATGTATATTTTTTTTGTGTTATTGGTGTACGAATAGAAGAAAAATTCTTATATTTCTTAATTTAAAATATTTCAGTTTAAAATATTTCACAATATTTCAGTTTTGTGAGTGCAAGCAGTAATATAATAATTTTTTCATGTTTGTAAATAACGTAGGCATTATATGGTGGATCAGAAATGCTGACTTCTTGATAATTGTTTAACTAGATGCTATATAATTCATAAGATTGGTCTTAATTCTTCACTTATTCACATTTTTAAGAGTTATCTTCATAATCGTAAAGCAACATTGAAAATATTAGTTCAGGTGTTCCTCAGGGATCCATTCTTGGTCCACTACTATTTATTATTTTTATTAATGACATTTCTGATATTATTAGCTGTCCACATTTATTATTTGCAGATGATCTGAAACTATATCTCAAAATAAATTCTATTGATGACTGCTTATTATTACAGTCTCAACTTGACTTTTTCCACTCATGGTGTATCTATAACAAATTACATTTAAATATATCAAAGTGCAAGATTCTTAGTTTTACACATAAGCGCGTTCCAATACTTTTTTATTATAAAATTTCTAACACCAGCATTGATAGATGTAATAAAATTTCCGATTTAGGTGTTCTATTTGATTCTGGTTTGTTTTTCACAGATCATGTAACTGATATTTATAATAGAGCACATAAATCTTTAGGTTTGATACTGAGAAATTGTAAACAATTTAAGTCTCCCAATGCACTTCTTTGCATGTACTATTCTATTGTACGTTCAAAATTAGAATACGGTTCGATTATTTGGTATCCTCATCAAATCAACAACTCTGATGCGATAGAGAAGGTTCAGCGAAAATTTCTGAAATACCTTTATTATAAAACATATAAAATTTACCCTGAACGTGGCTTTGACCACAACACTTTACTAAAAGAATTTGGTATTCCTTCCCTTGCCTCACGTCGATTTATCTGTACAATTATGTTCTTATTTAAGCTTTGCAATAATTCTATTGACTGTCCTCTTATTCTCAATCAACTATCCTTTAATGTTCCAAGGCTATCTTTGCGTTCACAATTATTTTTCAATTATCCTACCCCTAAATCTAATTCTCTTTTAAATTCGCCAATTTTACTTATGTCCTCTAACTTTAACTTAATTAATAATGAAATAGATATTCACAACACTTCACCTAATCAAATAATCTCCATCTGCACAAGTTAACCTTTTTATTTTCTTTTCAAATATCTCATTATTTTCTTATTCTATTTATAAATAATATTGTTACATTCTGCATTATATGTAATTTTATCTTAAGCATTTTATGTTACTAACTATATATTGTAATTTTGTATATATTTTAATTGTTATTCATTATGTAAAATAATTGTATTTTTGAGTCCTCTTGGAGAAATCTGTGGGCTATATATTTAAATAAATAAATAAATAAATAATTTTTGACTTCTGAGAATCTCATTACAATATCATTAAAGGATAGTGTAATTTACCCTGATGTGAATCAAAACTATCTATCTATCCCTAGGTGCTCGTCCCCATGCCTGCCATATGTGTCCAGCTCGATTTAATCAACCGCATCAACTGAAAACTCACATAAGAAGTCATACTGGTGAAAAGCCTTATGTTTGCCAAGAATGTGGAGAAGCATTTACTTACAAATATGTTCTCAACAATCACGTTAAGAAGCATGCGGCTCAGAGAATGGACCAAACAACCTCGGCACCTGGTTTAAATGTCGAAGTCAATGGCTCTACTATAAATGTAACAGTTACTGGTAATGGTAATAATGGCATGCAGCAAATGGTATCTTCTGGACAACAAATGGTTTTAGGTATGTTTCATGTAATATTTATTTTTTTGGTTTATATATAATTGAATGTTTTTTCATAATATAATATATTAGCAATTATAAATATCAGTGTGAACCATTTCAATCAGTACATTTCGTACTTTTTACATCATGAAAGCAACTCTTTATTTTAGAGATTTTTGTACATTATCCATAATAATTTTTCCGAATTCGCCGTAACTAAATTATAAAATTTGAATCAATTATTATCCTTGCAGCACCTGGTTTAACATCGTTGCATGGTGTTCATCACATGGCTCCAGATATCATACAGAATGGTAATCTGGTTCAACACATCACAACCAGTCAAGGACTTGTAGGATTAGTTCAGGCGAATATAGCTTTGGGTCCACCAGTGTGCAGTCAATGATTGGAAAATAAATGACTGTTTACTTTACGCTGCAAGTTAGAAATGTTCACCGAGACTCACAATCTTATTGAGAATTTGATGGGTAATATATTATTATTATTACTACATTTAGTACATTTAGGACGACTTTATTTATTATTTATTATTTTTTTTATTTTTCAAAAAAAATAATTTTAGAAGCTATATTCCATCGGCATATGTTATGGCATATATCTGATGTTTTTGTTTAGATATGTATGGATTCTGAGCATTCATGATATTGTCTTTATCTTACTTAAGATCATAAAAATGGACATAATGTCCGACATAGAAAGTTTTTGCACTATCATATAAAGTATCATTTATTGTATGGATCATTCATTATATTCAAATTAGTGTTAAGTTATATCTATTTATAAAGTATTCTATAATTATCATGAAAGTATCTGCCAATGTTGTGATAGTGATGATGTTTTACCTTTTTATTGATGTAGATGAAAAGCAAATTATAATTTTCATTGTCTGGTATTGAAAGTTTGAATGTTTTGTGTATAACACTGTGATACAAGTTGAACAAAAATCATAAAACGTTTCGAAAGTATAATGCGTCCTTTATGAAATTGAAATTTATATCAAATTTTAATCTATGAAATTAAAATATGTGTAAGTAGTTATTAGTTATTTATTTTACACAAAATCGTTTGTTATATGTTCAACTTGTATCAGAGGCAATAAAAATTTAATTGAATGTAAAAGCGTTTTTAATACTAAATTGAATTGAATACAGATAAAGATATGGAGAATTGTGAACCAAAATGAATTTTATGAGTAAATAAAAAAAATAATATCACTCAGTACATCGACTAATATTTATATTTGGATATTACGCAAATTTACATGTATATTTACGCTTATTTTTTAAACCGACAAATAATGGAGATTTTTTGAATAATTCTTGAAGAATTCATTTATCATTAATTCTCGGAATGATTTTGAACAAAATGAAATACTGGATGCACTTGCTTTTATTACTTAGCTTTATTTTATCAGAAAAGTATTTTGTAATTCTGAATGGTATAAAATTTTAAAAGAAGAGTTGCCCTATGTTTAGAATAAATTGAAAACTTATCTACATGTTTTCATTTTGGTTCCGAATTTCTCGTTGCCTTGTCTGTAAAATACTAGAGAAATATAATTTATGTTAAATTATGTTTTACAATATAATCAGCAGAATGAATTAACAAGTTTTAATTAATAATTCATTTTGATTTTATCTTATCGATAATTTGTATATCAGAATATTCTTGTAGAACAAGAATCGATATTTCAATATACAACTTCAGAGATAGTTTTTTATACTGTGTTATCTTATGCTTCCAATTTTAAAACCTTCGCTTTCATTAGTTTAAGATATAACTAAAAAATACTTGTTATACAAAGTATATTCTATATTTACAGTGAAATGCATATCGATTCTGTAAATGCGATTTCAAAACAAAACGAAAATTATTCACAGAAATACTTAGTTTAGGATTTTTTTATAATATTTATTTGCATTTATTAACATATTTTGAAAAGTTCAAAATCTTAGTAATAAATGAACTACAAAGTACAATATGAAGATGTTTTAATTCTCTCTTTTTTGCAGAAGTAAATAAGTTATAATGTAAACCCAAAATTATTTAGATGTGAGCCCAAATCTTCTTTTTGCCATTTCATTCGCAATATTTACATCAAGTCAATATATAAACTGTAGGTATTTATAACTACCCTAAGAAAATGTTAAAAATGATAATTACAAAAATGATTGATTTTATTGATTTGAAAATAGATTAGTCGTGGTTATTATAAAGGCTCTTGAATAGAACACATTGACAATCATATTTTAAAGAAAAGTTACAGCTTTATAAAAAATATCGTCAAAAAGTGGAAGGTTGCTACTTATGTTTTATTTAATGAAATCGCGTAAAGGTCGATCTTGCACATTATATTTATGGTATGTTGCAAGCCATTTATAATATAAATATGATTATGAATTTTTTTCCTTGCTTTATTTATATTACTTGGAAATCATCCAGGCATATTATATGAATTTTTTTATCCAATGCCAGTAGTTTATATTTCAAACTTAGAAGACATTGCACCTTAACTCGTACCTGTGCAAAATTCCTTATTTATACCGGTATAAGAAAATAAAGACCTTTTTATGGATTTTTTTTAAATAAATATGAAGAAACAATGAATAATATAATATTTCAAAGATTTTGCTTAAAAAGAAGGGTATAACGGTACAATAACGGAATTACCTCTTTGAACAGTTCGAACATAGTTCCATCCACAGATAAATAAGCATCCAACCCCATTCTTAGCACTCACAGACTTAATAATTTTATAAATACATTCGTTACATTATTAATTTAATATTTTAATCTAGGTGTCAGTTTAATAATTATGTTCGACTTGATATCTATAATAACTGAAGTGAAGTTAATCTCAGATTTTATTCTATTTTTTTTTGTTTTTTGTAGTGGTACTACTGGGGTGACTAAACGTAGCGTACCACCGACATTTCTGTAACTGTTAATCATAAGTCAATCTAAGTAACTAAAAGATCCAGTGAATTTGTGCTTTTGCTTTATTTTAATTGTAATAAATATTACAGAATTAATTCTTCAGGAAATCTTACCTGATAATTTATGTGATAAGTGAATAGTTTTTAAATTATGTATGGAGTAATTTAAATTTTTATAGTCGTGATGATGTTTTTGAAATCTTGAAAAATGGTTGTTGTGTTTTGTTCTTTACATGTTGCATAATATGTGTTTGTGACTGATGAAAATAAGTATTCAGTTTCGCACAAAGCATATTTCTTTATTACTAGTTGGAAATTAATAAAAACGTACTCAAAAACTGAATAAAAATGAAAATTTCAGTGTTGCTGACAGAATGTGACGGTTGATGTCATTTTTTGTGAAGTCTATACTTTGAATATAATGTGACATTTTTTTTGACTAAAGTTTACTGATTTTTAACGTGTAAGTTTACATTGTTTACTTTTCGTCAGTTCTTATTGCTACTGTAAAGGTAAGTCTTTTTCAATTTTATATATATGAAGATGAAATTATGTAATATTGAAACTTCTTTCAATGTCGCAGTTTGGATTTTTATACATTTTAGTAAATATTCGCTTGTTTAACATTTACATTCTTGGTTCTTTACTGCAGTTTTTTATTATTATTATATCATTTAGTTCTTAAAAATATGAAATTGAATCATCTTATGGATTTAACTAATCGGATACGATACATATATATTTATTGTTTACATTTTATACAATGCTCTGTTTGTACACTTATAAAGCATTAGTGCATTTTAAACCTATAAAATATGAATTGTAATATTCACAGTATATATTTATAATAATCTATTTGAAAATGCACAAAATTATTATTAATCCTGAAATAAAATCTGGCGCAAAATTCTTGCTCACCTTACCAGAAAACTTGACAAAAATCCTGTTACAAGAAATATGGGCTTAAGTCTGTGGAATGATAACGGCAATAGTAATATTTTTTATCGACAACATTATATATTTTACAAACGTTATGTATTTTCATTAACTTTACATTTAATATAGCTGCAATAGATTAATTCAATATTAAGTTTCTAACAATTTATTTATATTTAATGCATATTGGCTAACCTATAAATATCAGCATGTTGTTAGAAACCGGTATTTTTTCACTTCTCGAAATTGTTTGTTTAAAATTTCAATAACATTCAGTATAACCCTAGATATAATATAAACAGGGTTTAACAAGTAATTTTAAACATGAGTATTAGGTGTAAATAGTTTTTGAACGAAGATAAAATCTGTATTAAGTTTCGACGCAAATTAGTCTATTTAGTTAGTTATAATATTTATATATATATATATATATATATATATATATATAATTATCTAAATTTAGCCAATTTCGATACCTAATGTTACCTAAAACGAGAGATTTTGTAGATGCACCCGGTTATGTAAGTCGGTCTTTATAAATATAAAGGTACACGCGCCATTCTTATAAAATTGTTTTTCCTAACAAGTATTTAAATAATCATTAAATCAAGTATTTTTACATATGGGTATATAATATGGATTAAATATCTCTCATCATAGCTATAAAATTTTAATAATGAATTCATTTTCAAATTTTTAATACAACAGTAGGCCAACAAACAACGCTAAAAATTCACAACATTTAAATATTTTAACAATGAAAAGATTATTAGAAATACTCTAATGAAACTTTAACAATATTATGGTGTAAATGCACACAGACATCACACACAAATGCTTATAAATATGTCGAATAGTAAAAGATTGCTTAAGTCATACTATAAAAAAAACTATATTTAGAACATTTATCGATTTTTAATTGAAAATGCGTAAAGGTTTCTTGAAACGTACTTTGTGTATCAAGATTTGTGATTTTTAATAGTTATATAACATGGGTAACATACAAAAATTACCGTTTTACAAGCAGAAATGTAATGCAATTTCTTGATGTTTGATAAAGTAACTATACCGCTTTAAAATATAATTTTAAATTATATTTAACAGGACTCTTAATTGTTTTTATTTATATATTACAATATATCAAGCTCTTTGCACAAATATATACAGAAATTTTTAGAAAATGCTATCCAAGGTTTTTCTTTATTGTTTCTTCAAGAAATATGTAATCAGTAAATTCCTAAGCAACCTTAAACTATATATTATAATACGTGAATATGAAATAGAAGTATAAGTGTAATAAGTTATATACAATGTAGAATTTGAATCTATCAATTTCTTATTCATTTAATTAATTTAAATTAGTTTTTAATATTTTAGACAAAAATACGCTGTATTACTAACATTTTTGTAATACAAAATAAAAATAAATATTCAAATATATTACCACAAGACCCCGCTTGATATTGCCTTTATAGATATTTTTTAATGAATATTGCACAGATTGTTCTTGCAAAAATAATCCAAAAAATTTATATTATCAAAGACTTTGGATGATTTGGTATTAGTTTTAATATGTTGCATAAAATATTCATAGATAGCATCACATTATTTTTTCACCAATTTATCCTAATTTGTTCCTGCATTCATGGCAAATAATACTTGTTAATAAACAAATAAAACCAAATATTTTCAAACTAATATTACAAATTTTAATTTGAAAATATTATGAATATTCACGACAGAATATTTAATCTGTTAATTTTATATTATATTGTCTAACATTTATTTCCAATGCTTTAACAACAATCTTTTTTGACGACATTTTGCTTTTATTTAAGTAATTTTTTTATTGTTCAAGCGGGATCTTGTTATATATTTGTTACAGCTAAAATTAGATCTAACATAAATTCTATTTAACATATTGTCTGCAAAAAGCACATATTAATGATTTAAAAAATATTTGTAAATGGCAGTTGCAAAATTTTCTTAGCAGCTGTAAACCAGCACTTTGTCAGAATTGAATACATAGATGTTAACGATATACATGAAATATCTGATTGCCAAATTAATTAAACAAATATTTAATAAGTTCTAGTAAATACTAATATGTATACAGCGCTTTATTTCTGGAAAAAATGCATGTTATCACATCCATAATTATTCGTATAGATTGATTTATCATGACGAATTTTATTAGCGTTCTTTCAACTTATGCGAATGGTCTAAACTTTATTTTCAATTTATTTTTGATATGTTACGAAGTGAACAATTTTAGGCTTTAAACTGAAGTAGGTGAATTAATTAATATTAATAGGCCAATTTTTTACTTTTTAGTTGGATATGATTTTTCCAATCAGTCACTATTTGATATTGATATTTTTCATTGAACACATAGTAATTATTTTGCGCAAATAGTTTTATTTTGTCAATTTGAATCTTGCTTGTGTTGCCAAATTAAAAACCAAATAGTGTTAGGGGACTATGAGCAAATAGCTCGAAAAATTTTGGAATTTTAGAATAATAATTTTGATACTGGTGCTGAAATTGTACATAAGATATCATTAACACTTTCTAATACTGTTTTAACTGTTCTTGCATCCACATTTTCAATATGGATTTACTATTATAGCGTTAATAAAGATAATTTGGGTTTGAAAATTACCAAACTATTGTAAAAGGTAGTCCAAATTCGTTCATAACTCTTTTAACATTATTGTACAATATCTGAAAATACTTAATCATAGGTCTCACTTTCCTGTTGAACCAATTTGAATCTTCTGGGACTCTTTACTGCCACTGATCCATGCCCATCTGATAGTAACCTTCCTCTCGTTGATAAATATCTTCTTATGTATCTCGCCACCTTAGAAACAATATCGAATGATTTAATATTTTGCAATAAATATTTATTTATTGTAACTCTTAAGTACCAAAATTTTCAAAACATTTTATTTTTGCCTTCATCCAAAAGTTTGCAGGCCAAACAGCTCTATACAAAAATTGCAAACGCAATTACAAAATTGTTCGAAAAAGTTGTGCAAAAAGTAAAATTAGGAAATTTTGTTATTTTGGCACCAAGAAATTAATTAACTTTTTATACATTTATAAGCTATACAAAAACTTTAATTTATTTATATGTGAAGTAGGTACATAAAGTGTCTTACCAAAGTTTGTGGACGATTCTGCCATTCAATTAGGACTTCTTTTGGAGCCAAAACCTATTCAATAAATAACGTTTTTTTATTTTTGAATAAAACAATTAAACTTTATATGAATATAGTGATGATATAGTAATAATAATATACATATTTTGATAAAATATGTATCTAAAAATATAATTTTGACCACTAGCACACTTCATAAAGTCATAAAGACTACTGCTTAGAAAGCACGACTTATGGTTGCTTGGGTTGTTCTTTCAATATTTTTAGCTAAGTTTAAAAAAAAATCTATACATGAACAAAGGTACTTGTTTTACAAATGTTTGCAAACTAATTAATTTGGAGAAATAATTAGTTATCAGATTAACCATGAGTAAAATATATAAACCTGGTCACTTTTCAGCCGATCTAATATTGTGACACAAACTACTGCAGCTTTTATTCCAGCGTGGTGAGTCAGAGCAGCAAAAACTGTGCTTTCCATTTCCAAATTAACAATACCCGCTTGTTGTAGCTAAAACAACATAAAATAACATTATTAATTAATCTATTAATGGGAAAACCAAGAATAAATAGAACAAACTTTCTTATTTTGCAACTTATTTAGCAACTTTCACTTATAAAACTTTACTCAAAGAATGTTCACTTTTACTTCTGATTTTTTTTAAATTTCAATTTAAGGATTTTGTGAATTAAAATTATTATGGTTGGTATTACCTGTTGGAAATATTCTTGTTTATCATTTTCGGAAAAATCACAAAATGCGCCATCCATTCTTCCTTGACCTAAAATATAATCACAATTATTAATTTCTATAGACAGAATTTCATTATAAGTAAATGTGCTTTTAGAAAATCGATAAATGTAACAGTCTTAAGTTGAAAGTCAATAGATTTCCTTTATTTCATTTAAAAATGACATAGTTTATTTTTATAGTCATTGTATTATAGAATTGTATATATAGAATTATAGGCTCTTCGATTGATGGTACAACCTTAAGGTAATCATACAGTACAGATGCAATGACTCAAAATTGGAATTTTTCATGGTAATCATACAGTACAAATGCAAAATAATGCATTTTAATATTACTGTATGCAAAATAAATGAATTTATTTAATTTGCATAGAGTAATATTAAAATGCATTATTTTGTGTTATTCCATCTGTACTGTATGATTACCATAAAAAAATCCAATTTTTAAAATATATAAATTTTAATATATTACTTATAATATTTGTTTTTTTTTGCTTCATATTTATATAATAACGATACCTTCATAGAAATCATTGGTACACATTGTTTTGCCGGTAACAGTATCATATGGATCTTCAGGATCGGCCAAAGCTTTTAGTTCTCGTACTACCTTCTTGTCTAATTTTGTAGGTCTTTGGACAATTTTACCTAAAACTGCCTATATAAAATATATAAATATTTTTATTGATCTTTCTAGACAGGCGAATAGTGCAAATTAAAGAAAATTATTAACTTCCCCAAGGAGAAGATAGAGCTTTTGTCAGGAACTTCAATTATAAGAAGAATGTTATACTGAATTTATGAAAATCTATATCATAAGCATTTTAATGCTATTAACTAGAGAAACTATTTTCTTTCTCAAAATCTCTTCTTTAACATTGAAACATATGATTTTAGAATAAGTTATCGCTTTCAAGCCAATTATTGCTAGATTTAAATAACCTATATAATGAAATACAACAAATAATTTATAATTAAGAATATTTATTATATTATTACCGTTTCATATGTGCTCCTCATCAATCCATCAACTGCTTCTTCAGAAATGACAACAGTGCCTCCATCGATTCCAATACCACCACAAGTTCCTATAAAAATCATTATTTAGAAACATAATAAATAGGAACCAACAGTGGCGTCGAAACCGTGTGGGCTGTGTGGGCTTGAGCCCACCCATAAAATTTGATAGGGCCTAATATGTCTAACTAAAAAAAAACGATCCCACTGGCTGTCTACCAAAAATAAACGAGCCCACCCATCAAAAATTTGCTTCCAACGCCACTGGGAACCAATAAAAACAATCGCTAACGTAGGCAAAATTAAAATCTTTTTTCTTACCAATGCGGAAGAAAACGGGATCTTTAACTCGTGCGTGGTACATTAGTTTTATGAGTTCGTGCAAAAGTATTCCTACTGATGGTACACCCATGCCATGCTGGAAAATTTATATTTTAAATTAATTATTGCAGTCTTTTTTATTTATAATGGTGCCATATGATTCTTATATTACTCTTTTAGTTTTATCGAATATATATTGTTAAAAGTAAGTTTTTCAAATAAATACTTACACTGACGGCTAACACAGGTCCGACTTTGTACATGGAGTAACGGTAGGAGAACTCACTAATATCTTGTAGTTGAGTACCAGTTGGTAGTTTGTGACCAATCTGCTCCATGATGAAGTGCGCGAAAGTTTCCATACGTTTTGGTGTTCCTCCCATGCATACAAACTATAATTAAAAAAAATTCAATTATTAAAAAAATATTTTGAATAAATTTATTTTTAGTAAGCCTAATACTTAGACTTTCAAAAAATGTGATATGCTAAATTATTGATCTGTAAAATAAATAATATATGCAACGGTTATGGTAGTATTAATGACATGCTGATCTTGGGTCGAGTCCTGGTACTTTGTGGAAAAATAATATACTTGAATTGCAATATTGAAATTGATTTGTAATATTGAAAACATGTGAAGATACTAGACTACTAGCAAGTTGACCATACTTTTTTAAATCAAAGCCGGGATGGCGGTGTATGCAATAAAACTTAGGGAGAAGTCCCGTAACGCTGGACGGCACCAAGCACCGGACACTATTTAACACATTTTGTGTAAGCGAGTATAAATCCTTTCATTTCAAAATATAAGTGAAAGGGGCATGGGGGGCACACAGTTACAGGATCACGCGCCAAGTCTAGCCTGTGACGCGCACGGCCACGGCGAGAGCAACCCTTTCCTGTTTTAGGCGCAAAATCACGGCGTCGCCTAAATATCAATGGAAGTAATTCTAGCATATTTTATGCATTTACATTTGAGTGGTATGCGAAGATAAAAGTTGTACTTAATAGTTATCCGTAAAATGGTAGAATATTATTAGATCTTTAACCAATTTTAGTAGGTGCCAACAAATGAACGAAAATGTCTGTTCCTTAGCATCGGACACTAAGTCGTCCCTTAGTGCCAGACAGTAAACATATTGATATTTCTTGTGAGAATTTACGTAATTTATTCCAATTATTCTGTATGAGTGCTAGCGGTCACTACATAACCTATTTCTTCGTATTTCCTAGTCAAAGAATGAACATCTTATGATGAATGCTCCAGCTGAGAGCATCGGTGTGGACCAGCCAAAAGGATGGATAAATAGTGATTTTTTTTGCAATATCTAAGAATATTCGCCAAAGACACATGTGCAAACATTCCAAAGTGTGGAGATGGCTACATATGTGATCAATGCAGGTTATTTAGAAATGTCCGGTACTAGGTGCCACTGTTAAAAATCATATTTTTTGATACCAAAGTTTGATTGATATTATTAATTATTTCTTAGCAAAGAGAACAGAATTACTGATTTTTTAAAAAATTTATTATTCGATAATATATATTTTTTGCTTTTAAACTTTTTTATAAAATTTTGTTCAATTTTTTTTGTCATAATAAGCTTGAAAGAAAAAGGACTTATGCCAGGCAGCAGTCAAAAAGTATTTATAACTTTTGTTAATTTTTATCGAAATTATTAATGAAAGAGGCTATTTTATCCTGCCTTCGGAATTTCGTATTCAGAAATTTTCTCATTCATAACGTATTGTTTCAACAAGCATTCTTTTTGCACATAACATTTTCAGATATTTGATGAGTACTTGTGATTTTATTAACAAGTAAAAGCAAAGATTCAATTTACATCTATACTTTTTCGGACAATCCGTGACAATCCGGGATAAAAGATCTAAATTCGGGACAAACAATGCTTTTAAAAAGCCCGGGACACAAGGTGAAAATCCGGGATGATCTCGGCCAAACCGGCACGTATGGTCCCTATGTATTACGGAATTGAAATTAGATAAATAATCAATATACTTTATTTTTTTATTTTTTTTAAAAAATAGCTATCAAAATACAATGTAATCTTACAAGCTATAGTTACACGAAAGAGAGTAAAGAAAGAAAATGGTTAGACTAGACGAATAAATAATAATTTAGAGTTTACTCCATTGAGAGAACTCTAGTGTATATCTGAAAATAATGTTCTGTCGCAAATGAATTTTATGAAAGTGTAAGATGTACTTGAAAATTTGAAACTAGTAGTGAAGAACTTTAAAGATCAAACTAATTTGATCAAATACTAAAATTGAATTGAATTCTATATATTTGTATCGCCCAATAATTAGTAATTATCTGTTATTATAATATTCCGATTATTTCATTTCCAATTATTTGTTTCATATACTACTGTATCAATAACGTGTCTTCAGAACATGTCATTATTAAATCAAAGCATTTAATTAACTCATATTTGATTATGCTTATGGAATGTCAACACATATAATATTATATAATGCGTGTATAAATATTTACCTTGATATCACCAAACATTTCTACCAAATCGTGTGATTCACTGCCTAAAGCCAAATGATACAAAATATCTTGATCCATTAGTTCGATGTGTGGGTTCCTAAGTCTTACAGTACCTTCATAATACCTGAGAAAACAATTAGCAGATATATTATAACATATCGGTAATAATCATAAAAGACTTTCTAATAATTTTTGATGAACGGTTTTCTATTACATAATAAAAGAATTAGATTTTGTTGCAAGCAAGCTATTAAGATTGATCTAAGTTCAGTATTTTTCTAAATATAGGTAAATCTAACGATTTGTTGATATATGAAAATATATTGTAATTACTAAATTTAATCCTGTATCCGTAATATAAATATAAATATAAATATTATTAAACATTTTTATAATTTAGTTATAGAAAATATAAACTAACATTTTCATTACATTCATGCATAAAAATGAGATAAATAGCCCCTTGAATAATATTTTTTCATATAATTCCTTTGCTAAATTAATTGAGTGTATTCATGGATTTTATTCATATATTGCAAAAAATTGATGGTTTCCAAGAAACACGTTTTACCAGGCAAAATAATTACACTTTGTAATATATTTTTTCGATAACTATATTTTTGTAGAAATCAATTTATTTATTTATTTTTGTTACATCAATTTATTTAGGACAACTTAGGGAACTTGTTTCTGAATAGTATTATATGATGTAGAACTATTTTATTATTTTTTTTAATAATAATGTTTAAATTAGTCATGAAGATTTAAACTTCTTAATATACAATATATTTTTATTAATTTTCTCAAGAATTATGCAAATTTTTATCGATTCTACGTCATACATTAATATTGAAATAAATTTTGTGAAACAAGTTTAATGTTCATTAATTTTATGTTTTATAAAAATAAATCTCTAAACAATATCAGTTCATAAACATTTTATTACAATATTTATTATTAATATACTACAATAAAAAATCTGTAAGTGTATTTAAATAAAACTTTTTACACTAATTCTTCTAAAATGTAGATACAAAACCAACGTATGATTTTAATATAAAATTAATAAATATTATATTCAAGGTTGCTCTGTCAAAATATCAAGATCGATATATACTTACTCGTCCCTTTCTTCATCTGACAGAGAAAGCTCTTGAGGTTTATTTGCTCGAGACATTTTAAACAATTTATTTAACTTTTAAATCAACAAAGTCACTAAAACTTTACACAACAAATTCTTATTCGACTATTATCAATAAATTTATTTTGAGTCACTCTATATTATGTACAAATAACGTTAGGCTTATGTATTATTTGTCACTAGTTAATGCTTAAGTACACACTGGAACTTGTTGGTTTAATATCGTTTAACTTTATTATTTTATTAAATATTTCGAATCAAGATGAGCTACACATGATTTTTCTATGATGTCTACGCCTTTGATGTGCATTCCTACATATGGTATCGATTTAAAGAGCGCACGCGCCCACGGACTAGAAAGCTCGTTTTCAAGCGCAAGGGGTGACAGTGGAAAACGCGGGAAAATTGATGGTCGGGGCGAATATTATTAATTGATTTCCGAAACTTTACTAATAACTTATATGAGTATCATGATAAAAACTGGTAATAAACTTAAATTTCAAATTTGTTATGGTTTCGCGTTTCATTTCAAATTTTATTTCACTTTATCATCTTTATTCAAAAAAATGTTATAATTTTATCAATTAATATAATAATTTGATCAAGAGTCTATTTTAAAAATGTGAAATTATCTTATTTTTTGCGTTTTAGTCACATATGTAAATTTTGTTCAATTTACTTTATTTAATAAAATAAATTTAGAATTTGTATTTGTTATAATGTTTTTTAAGTATATAATTTAAATTATTCTGCGATGATACCTTACATGAGCCTTAACCACACGTACTAGCTTATTTTGATATGTATAAATTCAGCTGAAGTTATTTCTTCTTTCAATTTTAGGAACAAAATTTATCGAAATAATTTATACAATGGCTCTATATTAAACAGATGATAAGAAAACTGCAAATTTCAGATAATACTATACTTTAAAATGTTTTCTATTTGTTTCTTAATAATAAAGACTTTGATATGAAAACTTCAATATCATTTAAATGAAATTGAATTGAATGATTAAAAAAAACTAGTAAACAAAATAAACTAATCTTGATTCAATTTATTCTTCATGTATATAATGTATAATATTAAGGTGACCATATTTTTTAAGTCAAAACCGGGACGGCAATTTTTAGTGAGTTAATGCGGCATGGGGACGGGGAGTAGAACTTGAATTTAATTTTAAAATAATAAAGACACTATTTACGTAACTATAAAATTCTGTTCAATTTTCTTCATAATTAACTAGAAAAATTAGCACTTGTGCCAGGTAGTCAAAAGTTAGTTTTCTTAATTTTGAAAATTTAGAATTTAAATGTGAGAGATTGTTTTATTTCGCCATTGGCAATTTGTATTCAGCAATTTTCTCATTTATAACGTATTGTTTCATATAAGCATACTCATTGATATATCATTTTCAAAAATTTGAGGGGTAGTTATAATTTTATTATCTGCAAAGATTCAATTTAAACCTAAAAACCTATACTTTTCGAAAATCCAGGACAATTCGGGATAAAATATCTAAATCCTAGATAATTATTGCTATTAGAAAAATCCGGAACACAAGATGTAAATCCCGGACTGCCCGGCCTTAATAACATTGATTTATTTTTTATTTTTAAAATATAATTATTTATATAATTTTTTAATCTAATAATATAATTCAGTGATATATTACACAAAAGTACTTAAATATATAACACAATTCGATTCTAATTATTAGTCTTAAGCTCTCAATTATTTTTAACTTCCCATAGGGTATTAACTTCCCGTAGGGTAAGTTATTGTAATGGGCCGAAAATCGAAATTGCAAATTTTTACATTTCTCGACGTTTTGAAGGTTTCTGAACGTTTTGGCATCATTCAGAAAAAATGGATATGTGTGTGTGTGTATGTATGTATGGATACAAATTTCCAGTCACGTTGTCGGGCGCACGGATCAACCGATTTGAATGGTTCAAAAAACATTCGATTCCTATTGATAGGGAGATGTGCTGATTAGTTTTTGGCAAAGGCAGGTCCAACAATTACGGAGACAAAAAGCAAAGAGTGCAGAAAATAGAAATCGAGTTTTTGAGAGAACTGAGTATCCGATTTGAATGATTTAAAAAACAATCAATTAGTAATAATTGGGAGAAATAGTTATCAGTTTTTGGCAAAGATAGGCCAAGGCATTTCGAAGATACAGAGCTAAATGTTAAAATATGGCAATTTTTAACAAAACTAAGCGTCCGATTTAAATGATTCAAAGAACTTCCTGCTTGTTTTAACCAAATAATTAATTTTGGAAAAAAAATTGTTCCAAAATAATTTTTTATCAAAAGTTTTTTTTTTCTAAAAAAATTTTTTTGCATATCGAAAATAAATCAGATTTTGTTTTTAATTCTGACTAAATTTCTAATATACTTTAAACAAATAATTTCAGCTTTGCAATTCAGTTTATATAATTCTTATAAATATTAGACAATGTTACAATATTTATAATAATCTATTTAAAAACATTCAGTATTCCTCGAACATTTCGTTATGCTACGGGAAGTTCCAGCAATTTGCCTTAAGGCACGATGCCATACACCCCACTAGTTATGTTCACGGTTTGAAAAACTATAAACTTCAAATTTTCAGAAGTTTCGAATATTTTCTAAGTTTCAAAAATATGAAAATATTGAAAGTGATGAAAAATTTTGTATATCCAGATTATTTTGAATTAATTGGAAAAATTATTAATTATTTTACATATTTTCAAAATGCTTTTTTGTTGATTATAATTGCGCTTTCCGTTAAAAATTATGGAAAAGTTTTTCATTTTACAATATATATTTTTTTGCTTTTTTGTATATTATTTATCTACATCTGAATGAAGTTATTATATATAATTTGACAGTTTATGCGTTGGAAAATAAGACATTAGTGAAAATTGCAATAATCGATTTTAGATTGGTTTGTATTATTTAGTTTAAAAATCTACAATTCATTGTTCTCAAATATTACGCAATTTTGCAAAAATGCTGCTACCTATATTCTACATTAAACGCATTGGTGGAATTATACCATTCCTAGTAGTAATGCATAATATTGTTTATAAGAAATATTTTTGAAACTTAATTTTGTGATAGGACGTTGTAATGGTTGTGATAATGTAAATTTTATTTTCATATTCTATTATCGGTTTTGTATATATAAACCGTTAAAAGTTTTTTGTAAGTATAAATTATGATTATCTTAAATGTTTTTCTGACATATTCTAATAAATTCTTGTTTATTAATGAAATTAATAACTTTATAGAGATGTAGATAAATAATGTACAAGTTAAACATTATTTTCAGTGCGCTATTTGTTTGAGTGCAGTAATAATAACTCTATAAAGTCTAAGTTTATTTTCCTCAGCGGATTAATAATGCTTCTTATATTTCTTCTTTCAAACATTCTAATCTTGTCAATGGAAATATTTGATTCGGTATGTAATTATGGTATAATATAAAATTTATCGTAGTATATGATACTAATATTTCCTACGATTTTATGGGATGGTATAAAGAAAGCTATAATCATCCAATCTGCAACTGTGTTTGACTATAATAAAGATTACGTGAGTGGATTCAAATTAGAAATCAAGAGATTGGATAAGATTTCTACTGTTCTTAATAGCCAAATTAATATTACTAGACAATTTGATAATTTTCAGGTGAGTGTTTGAAAACTTCAAGCACACCAAAACCCATCCAAAACCTTACAATTAGATAAATTAAAAATTCATGAAATTATTTTTATATGTATATGCACCTATATCTATACCTATATATATATATACATATATATATATATATATATATATATATATATTGCTTTAGCTAAATAATTATTTAAATTGTTCAAATTCCTTGAATGGTTCTGCTGCGTATTTGTAAAAGTAATGACAGAAAATTTACAGTTTCGGATTGTTTTCGAGTGTAACTGTAAACATATTTACGTATATGTGTGTAAAATAAATTTATAGATTTTCTTGTAATACATGATATTAATTAAAATAATTAAAAAGGAACTTGAAAACAGTTTATGCTGTAAAATAGCGTTACAAATAGGAAATTTTTGTAATTGTTTTGAGCCGAACGCGAAACTCTCGCTTTCAACTAGAAATATTCACAGGAAAAACAATTTTTATATATATAATATTATATTATATATATATATTATTTTAGTAATATGTTTCAAACATTTTATATTCTAGTGATACAAGGGCTATACTCCAATCGAAAACATTTTGCAGCAAAATGCATTGTACACTAGTATTCTGAAAAAAATGCTGAAAAACGTTTTCGACTAAATCCGGCTTACGACTTTAATACATTTGCACTACAATCCTGTATTATATCATCAAATTTTTTTTTGCTGTGTCAGGAAAACGCTATAGCAAAAAACATATGTCTTTTTGGCACAGCTATTAATTGAATTATTGTTTTATTTCAGTTTCGATTAGTTGCTTTTATATTTAGTGGATACAAATTTGTTCCTGCTTTATTGAATCATACAGTCGACATGTGTCATATTTCAAAAATCCTGCAACGCAGTTTATTATTAAAAATATTTACCCTCGTTTAATCAAGAGTGGGCATATGCCCGAATCCTGCCCCGTTAAAAATGTGAGTAAATTAGTAATAATTTTCTAATTAATAATTATCTAATAATTATTATAAAGTATGGAGAGTGCATATATATAATAACTTTTAGGTTTTAAAATGATAACTAGTCTTAGCTTTTATAAAAAAAACTATTTGAGTATAATTTTTCCAAGTCGGAAATTTTAGTATACAATGTAGAATTTGAATTATGAAAATACAGAAGTCATTTGTGATAATTTTACCAAATCAATCAGTAATCTAAGATGGAGTGTACCTAAATATACTTTAATTTAGATGATTGTCTCGATCTGCTTATTCAAATTTAATCCTAATCCTAATCCTGTCATAATTTAAATCATATAAATGCAATTTGTATTATTATTGATGCTCACCGTAAGTTAATATAAGTCGATCAAATCTTACCTCTTTTTCATGAATCTGTTATAAATCATTCTATTCATAAATCGTTTAAAAATATCTATTTTTTAGCAAAACTGCCTAAAATGACAAACAGTAATAATATTTATTCCTTAGGATTCATATTATCTGCAAAACTTTGTTGCACCTCGAAGCAGTTTTCTTCCAGATGGAAGATTTAAATTAGATGTCTCTTTCACTTCTCGAAATATAAATATAGCTCATTTCTGTATGGTCTTCTTACAAGAAAAACATTCTAAAAAATAACTTGACAAAAAATTATATATCAATATCATATCTGGAAATAATTTTACAAACTCAATAATAAAAATGTGAAATATTTATTTAATTTTATTTATATATACTTCAAAATTTTTACTCGTTTCCAACGCAGTTTTTTATTTATATTCGCAATGAATCATAATTTTAGGAAGTCTCAGTAATTTCTAATTCTTAATTAATTAATATTTATTTAATAATTTTATTTTTTTATTTGTAATTTATAATTGTAATATAAATTACATTGATTAATTATAATATTGATATTCATTCAATAATAAAAATGGGAAAACCAAAAAAAACGGTTTACTGAAATACTACTGAAAAAATTTTTGCTATGGCTTTTTGTTACTGTTTTTAATACTGTGCTATATGTGCCGTTCAAGTTTTTCATCCTTAAAAAAAATGGTTATTAAATCAATAAAAAATCAAATATTTCAATTGATGTTAATCAATAATAAGCTTATAAATTCATTTTGTAACATGGACAAAAATCTTATGTTTCAAAATTGCAAAATTTATCCAGAAAATGTAAAGTTCCATTACGGTTCAAATTAAAATCTAGTTATTTTTTTTGCTAAAAATTTAAATGTTTGTCGGATTAATATTAAAATTATGTAAAGTAAAATCGATTATTCAAATACTTTATGAAGTAAGCATATAAAGTATAGGCATATGATTCCTGAATTATTCTGGTTCTGGTATGTTCTGGTAATGATTTACTGTATGTGGAAAGTTTACAAAACAATACGAAATTATTTCTAAATTACCCAACTATGTTTAATGCAATCACCTTTAGAATAAGTGAATTTATGAATACATTTTTTGTAAATAATTCTCTATAATTTTGATGAAATATTAATAGTTTCGAGTTCCATTGTCATTTGAAATCTGATAACGTTGACCTCTAATATTAAAATCATTCTTTTTTATTTTTTAAAATCGCCACACAATTTTCGGAGCTCCAAATTAATCTTTTTCATGAAATAGAGTTCTGAAATAAATTTACTAGAAGTATGTTTAACAAATTCATTTTTGTTTGTTACTTTTTCATTGCATTTATTATTGTATTGCACATTCCAAACTTGGTAAGTAAAGTACAATTGAAGTTATGGTTATATTATTTGGCATGAATATTACATTTATATTATTATTGTAAGACTGGATTGACGGTTCAGTCAATAGTGATGGATCATCTAGATGAGGATTATTTTAATGCAAAAATAGAAGTTAAAAGGATCTCTCGAACGGTTGCCGTTATTAATTGCGATTTTACAGTTCTAAAAGAAATATCAAACTTACAGGTAAAATTTTGAAATGGGTAAAATTAATGAACTAAATCCACCACAGTTTTGTTAAGATTCTATTTAAAAAATAATCATATTATGTAATGATCTCATGCAATGCTGATTACAGTCTACCAATTTAGAATGTAAATTGCTTACTTAAATACATAGTTAAATATATTTTAAATAATTAAATAGCAAAATATTTCTAGTACAGCGCTTTGACACAATTCTGTTTTATACTTAACAGATAGTTTTGATTTTCAAAAACTCTGCACACTTATACTTGCAATTTTATTATTCCCACTTTTATCAAAGAAGGAATTTTTAAGTATTTGGACATATGTTTAATTATAAATTTACTTAAATTTCTACTTAAATTTAATTAACTGGATACTTAAATTTATTTAATTTTTTTTTGCTAAATATTTTTTTTTATTTTAGTACCGTATGGAACTTTATACATTCAAAGGAAATAAGTTCATACCTTCTATATTGAACCAAACATTTGAGTTTTGCGATTATTTTGATAAACCAATGTCACAGATGCTATTACATATTATTTATCCAATTTTACAAAAAGGTGGTAAAATGCCAGAGAAGTGTCCGGTTCGTCCGGTTAGTATTCTCAAATGTAATTTAATTTTAACTAAAAGGATTAAAAAGTCATATTAAAATTTAAATATTCATAATGACTATAAATCTATCAATCTATAAATATCAACTATAATTACATTATATTTTACTACTGAAATAGAAAACTGTATGCAATATCTTTGCAACTTTGTAATTTTTATGCTACCGCGATTTGTGAATATTTAGTTTATTTGCTAATTAATAATTGTGTCTCACAATCATAAAAGTTAGATTACTTGTACTATTTCTTTGTTAAAGATAAACTTATTAAAACAAATTTCCTATTATTGCAAGCAATGTTCAATTTTATATAACTTAAATTTTTTGCCCGTTTTATTTATGTTTATTGAGAAATCAAACTTCATTTCTTATAAGTGTATAATATAAACTTTAGGCATACCGTCAATATACGGATTTTGTTATTGTTTAATCAATCAAATATATTTAGAAGTAAAAAATTATATGTTAATACATACTCGGTTAATACTATATATTGAATTCACTTGATGATACGCAATTATACTTACAATTAGTAATGATAATTACTTCTGAATTAATTTCTTTCAAACGGTGTTGTAAAGTAATGATAATAAGTATATATAATGCAATATGAATAATAAGAAATCCTTCTTTAATCATATAGAAGTATGAAAATTCTAATATTTATTATAATATGCTTTCAGGATAGCTACTATTTACACAATGTCACACTTCCTGATAACAAATTTTTTCCAAGTGGGCGCTACCGAGTAGATTTCACCCTGTACGTTTCTAATAAACGTATTGCTCGCTTTAATACAATTGTTAGTCAGAACCATAACATTGGATAAAAAATGTAATTCAGATGTAATAACATTTGAATATATAGAATATTAATTATTTTGTGATTGATTTATAATGAATTACACATGCTTGAGGCGTGCGGGTATAAATATGTAGAATAAAAATTTAAAATTAAATAAATATTTTTTGAAAAAAAAAGGAGTCTAAAAAAAATTAAAATTATAAATAACAGTTATTATATATACATATATATATATATATATATATATATATATATATATATATATATTCATATTCATAATTCTGTACAAAATTGAAATAATAAAAAGCATTTGATATATATTACGAACGAATAAAAGAGTTTGGTTTCAGGAATAGACATAAAGGTCCAATTTGAATTTGAGCAATTATCACAACAAATAACACTTGTTAAACATACAACTATTTGACTATGTTCAGTAACACTCCAAGCTAATTCATCACTGTAGAAATATGTTTTTTTGTCGTTTTATTAAATTTTTTCACCTGATCTTTTTTGCCCCATAGGCGAGGTAAAATAGAATGGCCAGGTGGCAAACAAGTCCAATGTCTTATTTTTCTTTTAAAGGGATTTTACTGAATAATAGCTACAATGTAGAATATACATTTCATAGCTACATTTTATACAGATTTCATCAGAAATATTCATTTATAGGGTTGGAATAACTATTTTATATTTATTTATAGGGTTGAAATGACTAACATCGAAATAGTCCTTCAAGCCCCGCTCTACCATATTTTAAAATTATATAAACTCAGTTTTATATATTATAGTTTCTTTTTGCTAACGAATGTTGTAACAAACGAATGCTCTAATGATTTAAAAATGAAAGATGACAATTAAAGTATAAATAGCAAAAATTAATTTAATAACTATAATAATAAGTAAAAATACTTTTCCTTTCCTTCTTGAGAGTCTTTTTTTAATTAACGGTTTTTCTTTATATAATTCTTTCTAGTTTATTAATTTTTTATGCCATTTTGTTTATGTTTGCTTCACGTAAGCATTTGCTTAAGTATTTTTTTCATTTTATGATTTAAAGTTTCTTTTACTGAAACTTCATAAAACTTACGATAAATATTAAAATGCAAAATTCTTGGGCTAACAATATCTACAATGAATAATATACATACTAAATTTGAGTGTTTTTTCATATTTTTTTTGTCATCGTGCTCATATTTGTTTTTATTATTTCTTTGAATCTAATAAAATACTTTTATGTCTTGGAATCATAAATGTGACTATTATCTAAGACTTTGAAATTTATTTCAAATCTGTCCTGCTATCAAAACAAAATCAATCCATATAACCCATAAATTTTTATTATAATATAGCTAAATAATCAAGAAGGGAAAAATACGTGTCCGATGTACGAAATTTAATTCATATATAATTTCAAAAAATATTTAGGAAAGTTTCAATAATGAATACAATGTTAAATGAAAAAATAATTGTTTTTTTTATCAGGACATCTGTTAACTGATTTTTTTTTCGGACAATAGTTTATAAAGTTTGTTTACTATACGCTCTGATAAACTGTATTTGGACTAAAATTGTATTAATTATTTTAAATCACTTTTCATTTGCCTGATAATATGTAACATTAATAAATATTAGACCACATTATGTAATATATTCATCAGTCTGAATACTAATTTCAACAAGACACATTCTTGTTTCTGAATTATTTTTGCATTCGAAATGTTTAATAAAAAAACAATTCAACTTCATATAATAGTTGAAATGATTATTATTACTTTGTGGATATCGTATACCGTAAGAATTTTATTTTAGCAAAGCGATATTTTTATATTTATTATATTATGATTTCTTTAAACATACAATTAGGTTGTAGATGTAAAACTATGAAAAGTAACAAGCGTTTTGGCAAAATCACCTAGTTCAGACTAGAAGGGCTTTTTCGATTTTTACTGTTTTCCAACTGCAGTGTCTGCTATCATCGATATGGGTCAAATTGTAGAATTATGGCTTTAACATTATTCAATATATTATCTTTTACACCAAATTTTCGATAATTTTGAACGGAATGAACTAACCCAAAATTATAGTAGTTCCGTGATTATAAACGCAATTCACTTTTTCAACCGTCTGAGTATTCACTAATCCATTTTTTTTTACTAAACGTATTTTTTTTCTAAAAAATGCTTGAACCGTTTTATTTTACTCCAATATTAAGCGTCATTGAAGCAGTGTTATATCATTTTAGAAATGTGTTATACAATTAAAATACGCAAATGTAAACTATTTGGATAGAGATTATGCTGATTTTGATTTAGTAGTCTCAAAAATCAATCGATTTGCTTCTGTATTGAACGGAGATTTTGTTGTAAAACAGAGGTGTGATGATGTTTCTGTAAGTTGTCTATAAACAGAATATTTTGAGAAAAATAAATTATATGATTTTATTTCTTTCAGGTGAATATTCAAACTTTTATCCATAGAGGTAAATAGAGCAACTATTATTCAATAAAATGATATTACCATTTATCAATTAAAAATCAAGTTTAAGAATGGCTATTCTTATATAAATTATTGGTTCGATTATCAAATAATTGCAGTATTTATTTTATGAATGCATCGAGGCATTAAAAAATATCTAAGACGGTGAAAAATATACGAAGCAATTTTTGATCTTAATAACACAGCTGGATAGATATTTTAAAATTTATTAATTTTTTTGGTTTTATAAAATAGAAGATTTGGTTTAAAAAAGCTAATGGTGTATGGCATCGTGCCTTGTAGCAAATTCCTGGAACTTCCCGTACCAAAAATTAATTTTTTAAAATATATTATTTTTTTTACGCCTTGACAAAATTAGATTTTTGAGAAATTTTACATTTTTGAAAAAAAAAGTTTATTTTTTATTTTGAAATATCTTGAAAATTTTTAAAGCAATCGCACTGCTTTAGCTGCGTAGATATGAAATAGCGGAGCGCGTAAGCGCCGCGTCGCCGTCCAACGGATGAACGATGTTACGGAACTCATAGAATTGTAAACAAAATTGATACATAATATTAAAATCTCCATAAAATATCTGATAATTTGATGTGCATATGTCTAATGATAAGGCTTTAGGTGTTTTGCCCCGGATTTTTAAAAATGTTTAGGCTGCCTATATTTTTTAGATATATTTCAACTTAAAATTCAATTCAAATCAATTTAATCCTATTGACAAATTAAAAATTTTGAAAAGAAATGTGAAAAGTCGATAAATGTGCGTACCCTGCAATTTCTGCAATTTTCAGCAAAATATGAATCTTAAATAGCTTTGATAAAATTTGTTCAAAGTTAAATTATTGTTGATATTTAATTAAATCTGATTCATTGTCATTCAGACACATTATGTGTCTGGATTTAAATTTTTTATTAATGTTTGTGAATTACTTTAATCCAAAGTTCGCCTTTTTAGGAAACCAATTTATACCAGCGTTTATTAATAAAACTGACAATTTATGTGCTTATTTTAAAAATCCTATGTCCCAAATGTTAATACATTTGATATATCCAAGTTTACAAAAATCTGGTAAAGTACCAACATCATGCCCGGTACAGCCTGTAAGTTTCACCCATATTTATTATAATTTATATAAATTAGTATTCATTTATAATTATTATATTTTTATGTTTTTAGGGAAACTATAATGTGAGAAATGTAACTTTTGACGTAAAGACCTATTTGCCGGATGGAAAATACAGAATAGATTTAAACATACTCGCAAATAAAAAGAATGTGTGTAATATTTCTCTTGTTATGGTTCAAGCACCTACTTCAGCTACAAAGAAGCTATCTTAATATTATAACTAATTCAAAATACATGTTGAATAATTTTTTGTTCTTATTGGATATATATGAATTATGTAAAATGATATTTAGTATGGAAATTTGTTGAGTTTTGTTATTTGAGTTATTGTATTTAATAAAAAAGGAATACCTCAGCATGATGATTGTTTTAATTGGATTGATTGATTATATGAACCTAAGATAAATTGATAAGCATAATGATTGCATTAATAATCTTTATACCATATTTATTTTAAATCGAAGTATTTTTTATAAACCAAGTATTCGATATTTATAAATTTGATAATATGAATAAAATTTTAAAATTTTGAAAATTTCAAACTACATTTACTTTAATATTTAATTTACGAAACACCTTATGATTACAATGTTGAAGCTACTTGATTCTTTCATTAAAAAAATTATAATTATTAATAAATAAGTTTTGCATTATATATACTCGAATATAATTTACAATGTTCAAAAGATTGAAAGTTAATTAATGAAATGCTTCTATTACCATAAATGAATAATGGCCGGGAGTGTTTTAATGGTAATTATTTATTCATAATTTTTATATTTTGATCAATCATTTTATAACATATATTTGGAAATTGGAAAAGTCCTAGTAATTGTAATCCTAATGCAATACACTACTAGCTAATATTTTGTGCAAGAGACATCAAGATTTTTTAATATTTTATTAATTTTTAATTATTACTGGTACTAGTAATATTATATTAATTTTTAATTTCACTGTACCAGTTACTTATAAATTATGATTTTTTTTAAATTAGTTTGAAATCACTTTCATTAGCGTCGTATGTGTAATAAATGATCTCTAAAAATAGATTTATTTTAGCATGATATTTTAATATAAAAATAATTAGTTTGCCGATTTGTTTTTTAGCAGATGTTGAAGGATTTTTATAGTAAAAAAACAGTTAATAATGATTTTATAGCTCCTTATGACTAGATAGATATATAACATGTAGGCTAAATTTAAAAAATTTAATTCCATTTTCTTCAAAACTCATAACAGTTCTTTAAACAAATAGTGTGGTATTTTTTATCAGTTTTCATAATTGTTTTCGGATGTTTTTTTGCATATTATAGGGCAATTTAAAATGCATTGTTTTATACTTATTTTCATTAATATAATTTTATTTTTTACTACAATTTGTGTTTGGAGGTAGGGATTCAAT